TTTTTGAGGTTTAAGTGCTTGCTCGATATTTTTGGGGGGATTTATGCAACCCCCTCCCCATCAACTATCTAATGGTCCGTCCCTAAGGGTGATCGGGTGTGGAAGCTGAGCGCAGGTCAAGATAATTCTACTCCTTCTGAGTGTTCGTGGAAATGAGCCAAATTAGTATCAAGTTGGGGTTTTAAATCTAATGAATTACATCTAGAATTCCTAACTTTTCTTAATTTAACTTTTCCATATTGGATTAAACAAAAGAATTGGATAATTTTTTCCACGTTTTTTAATTCTAAATTTGACTCAAGAATATGTGGAATTTGTGTGAGTCATGGCTCAACCTCGCGAGGTTTCGTTTTCGGTTTCCTTATGTCAATCATTATGTTATAGCTGATAAATTTATACTCCATACTCATATGGGAGATCAGAAACCAGTTCGCCTGTAAACTATACACCATCTTCTTGAGTTATTTACCATATTTTTCCCAATGTTAATGTCAAGGTTGATCAAAATCTATATTAGAGATAACCTATTCCCCCCGAAACAAATCTCTTATCGACTATCATGATTCGGCTTACCCCTTCCCCCTTGGGGAGGTGTGTTTGCATACACCACCGGATAGCCTAGATAGAGCATAATGTTTTTATAATAACAATTGACGAGGCTAATGACGCATTTGAGCAAGACAGTGGACACTATTACATGTAGCATCAAGGGAAAACACCATTGTTGTGCTTTACGAAACCTAGATTACATATCTGTAGACCATTTTCAAGCCAACTTAAAGACTTCAAYTTGAAACAACTGCTGAAAACGTTGTGAATTTTACTTTCGTTGTTAGCTACGTGACTCACAGCTCCAAGGTGAAAATGAAGGTCTTTTTATCGACGATTGTAGCACTATTAATCCTGGCTTGCATCTCTGATGCTCGCATAAAAGGTACGAAAAATCTCTTTGATTTGACATCTTTTTTTATCTGGGTTTATAAGTAGTTTTTTTTTTTTTTTTTTTTTTTTTTTTTTTTTTTTTTTTTTTTGTAACATTCGTTTTGGGTCGTGAAATGAAGAGTCGCTTATTTGGCATGTAATTAGAATGATCAAATATTTGATGAACCGAATAAGAATCATTTATAGTTTTTTATTCATACACAAACAGAATCCTCAGAATTTTTACAATGAAACGTAGTCGTAAACTTCTGAAGGAAATCGTGTGAGCTGCTTTTGATAGAGTATAGCTTAATGATGGTCTACTTTACAGAACATTCTCTTATAATGTTTAGTGACCTTTGGAATATTATTCAATTGTTCATTTACGGTAATCAAACCATCTCGTATGATTCACTTATTTAAATTTAATCAGTCATAACATTCCAGCGTGCTCGAAATTGAAAACAGATTATTTTAAATTAGTTTCGATAATTATTTGACATCGAAAGTGCGACTACACTCGAATGGGTTTCTAATATTATAAACGCGCTTAAAATAGCTCAGTTTTCGCTGTTGTATCACAGGGTGTAATAAAATGTGTTTTGCTTCACAGATTCGAAGAGACAAAGCATTTTGGCGACAAAAATAAAGATTCTCAAGGCATCTMTTCCGGTGATTGCAGAGCTTTCTCCTAATGGTACTGCATCGACCACAACCCCTCAAGCTATTCCTACAGTAGACGTTAACTTTATTAAAACTGCTGCTCCAACCAAACGCATTCTACGGACCCCTAACTTGACATATGTCGAGCGCAAGTGTTGTAAGCTGGGATTTCGAGGCGGGAAAAAGGGTTTCAGCTGTGACTGGGATCGCTACACTGCYTTCCGTTACACCAACATGGAACATCGGATGAAGATGAAATTCTTCGGTCGAAAGCCCTCCAAGAGAACCCAGCGTTTTGTCAAGCATGTCGTGAATTTCTGTGTTAAAACTGGCTTGAAACGTCTGTTCCAAAAGTGCTGCAGAAGTGCATAAGCGATTCACGACGCTCGCCCGTGCGACACTTGTTTGACGCATATCGACTTCTATACATATGTACAAATCTAGTGCTCTTGAACACCAGCTACAAAATTATAACATTAAATCCTTTATTGGTTAAACTTTCTTTGTCAACAAGCTCTGAAGTCAGAGATAAATGTTAATTTACAAACAGCGTAATCTGGTAAATATTGTATATATAATGACATTTTACAAAGTAAAGTAGGATCAGAAAATTGGTCTTGTCAAGCCACTGAACCCTGACAAATCCAATTTTAGAAAGGTTTCTTCGGTATTAATTCAACCTTAAAAGTTTATAACGATTTATTATGAATTTCTTATACTCCTTTAAAAAACTTCTAWGCATATTTTCCGTATATCTTAATTCATTTGTTTGAAGATTGATCTAAAAACATAATACAGTATTCAAGCAACTTGTTTTGATGTGGTACGCCAACCGGAAGTCGCAAGAGTGCTTTTGTAAATAGTGTATATAGACGGCAGATTATACTACCAWAATTACTATCATTCTTTTTCAAGTTTTTATCTCCTACTTATTTGACTGCTGYTATCTTATCATAGAGTAAAGGTTTTATACACATTTAGTAGTATTTACAGGCGTTTGTTTTAGGTTATAACAATGTAACTTGATCTTCAATAAATATTTTGTCTTTATTACATACTTTTTACATTGTGATTTTGACGTAAAAATTCGATTGACAAGAAAGTTAATCACGCCTTCTTTTCCTTCACCAAAACAACAGCGTTTATTTTAGTGAGATTAATAAAACTCATGGTTAAAACAAAGACTTAAACCGAAATTTGATTAGTTTTTTTTTCTACGGGAACAGAAGAGTCTTTGTTATTCCGTGATACATGAGTGAACTAGATAACTGACCCACTTCCATTGCACTTAGCTGTCTGCTATTGTCTTGTCTCACAATAAACAAAGCCAAAATGCAAATGAACGTGAGATCCTTTGTGTTGATTGCTAAGTAAACTACAATGTAATGGATTTACTTTAAGGGGTGTAACTTGATAGACAATGTGCTGTGGTAACCAGTCAAGACTTTTCGTTTTTTCGTGATGTGAACCTCGAAAGATTATGGTTATACGTTAAACACCACTGCACACATAACTCTTTTACATTTGCAATCTTTGTCTGTCGTTTCTTTTCTTCAATAAGTTTAAGAGTCGGATTTTCCGTATATTGTAATCTAAAATTGTTACTATTTGTGTGCAAAATATAATCTGAAGTCTAAGTCTAAATTCTAAATCACAAATATATATGAAACAAAGGAAATTTCTAGACAAAACAAGCTGATACTGGTTGTCTTATTTCTTTTTGCGGCAGTTACGCCATAGTTAATATATGGTTACACTTACTACTAGAATTTTCGATTTTTGCGCGCGCGTCCAGTTGTGTTCTATTCTTAGTAGGCAATTCTTGAAGGCCGCTAAACTTAATCCCGTGATATGCCTACATTTGTGACTTTGCCAATTATTTGTGTAGACTGCGTGAAGTCCGCCTTGGTCCTGGTTAAGTAAGGTTAAAAGTGTATTTATAATGTAGCAGAGGGGGGCCGGGGGTCAGGTGAAATCTTTAAATGACAAAAAAATTATTAAGACCCCCCCTTAAAGTCCTCCAAAAAATAACTATCCCCCCCGGGCAATCTCTCGTAGTTTCTTCTAAAAATTTTGCATCTCCCCCAATTCTCTGAAAAAAAAATTCAAACCCCCCCATTTTACTGGTAAAATTTTTTCAGATCCCCCTAAATTTCACCTGCCCCCCCTTCTGCCATACATTATGAACGCAACCTAAATTTAGATTATACACAATAGAGTTTCACACATGTTGGCTATACGAGCGTCAGGTGATCGGTAAAAGGTAATGCCGGAGGAGTGGGGTTTGACCCAGGGGGGAGGGGGTTCGTATTTTGTTAGCCTCTCCTTCACGTGTTTACAACCTTTATATCCCCTACTCCCTCCACAGGGGTTTCACACTAGAGGAGGATCTAGCCTCATCCGCAGGCTACCCCAAATATATCCTGTTGAGATCCCTGTGTTAAATTATTTGGCAGGGACGGCAGGAGTGCCTTTGCGTTTTGTTATTATTGTTTTTTTAATCTGGTTTTTGTGCATCTTTTTTGTGTGCATTATATACCTTTACTACTAATAAAACGAAAACTAAAGTATACTACTAAGGCTGAGCAAAGAGAACTCGAAACTAGAGTATTGAGCTTAATCATCCTTAATTTGGCCTTTGACAAAGGACACCCAAAACTCTTAAAACCACAGAGATCCACGCGTTTGAAGTTATGCCGAACCTAAAAGAATTTAATATATAATAAATAAATAAATGGGATTTAGCAGTGGCATTTCTACAGAGTAGCTAGAATTTAGAAAATAAATACCACTGAAATGTATGACATACACTCTAATTCAGTACGATTGATTTTTTAAATTTCAAAAATAATCTCACTCGCAATGCATTATGATATAATCCTGGATCTCCCTCTGGATTTATACATGTAGCTAGACTAGATTATGGACACCTAAACGCTTTAAATGGTAATACCGCTGATCGCTCGTCCCTATCTCCCATTCCACGTTCGCGGTCATTCCTCATTACCCATCTTTTATTTTACCAACATGCTTCAGTTCATATGCCAATATTGGAGGCCATTTACATATTCCACTGTAGCTTAACGTACAGTGACTGCTGAGCGTTGCATGCAAATATATTCAACCAGTTCAACAGGTATAATAATGGTGGTGCCAGAACGCGAAACTTGGATCGGCAAGTTTGATTTTCTTCTTGCCTTGATTGGTGCCTCGGTCGGACTTGGGAACATTTGGCGCTTCCCATACTTGTGTTATAAGAACGGAGGAGGTAAGGTCTAAAAGTATAGGCTGAAGACTGAGAGACTCCATTACATGTTAGAATAGATTACAATAGATAACGTTTTTAATACTGTCTGAACCAGTTATGTGCGATAGAGTGTTTTATTTGAAATTTTTTTATATGCTAAAAAAACATGTGTAAACGCAGACACAGAGGTAAAGGAATCGAAACATAAACTACTAAAACAAACTCTATTGGTGTACTTAGGCCAGGACAAACGTCGAACTAACCATGAGCTTAATTTATAGTCGAACCTATTACGTTTGAAATAGGCTCATACTTAGTACGACGTTTGCTGTAATTGAGAACGACCCTACTGAATAGGTTCGAGTCCAGCATAAGATCGACAAGCCAAGTCGGACATAACAGAGAGTTTTAGATTGACTTTTTTTCTCCCCGCAAACGGCAAACGTGAGCACGTTTTCATAGTTTTCCTGTATTTTACTTTACCTTTTACAAGGCCTTCTCACCAAGCGCAATTATTCTTTTGTTTTTCTACTACTTGGACTTTTTTGCGATTCTTTTTCAGTAATTTAAAAGAATTTTTTACTGGTCAACTGACGTTTCACGTTTGCCGTGAACGTAAATCTAAAACTCTCTAACGACTCTGGAGCGACTTTGTGGCAAACACGTATTAAACACGTGCGGAACTAAATTGATAAATTATGCAAAATAGTAAATCAATCATGCAAGTCGCATAACTTGCACCAAAGCCGTAAAAACAACCTCTTGAGACTCTTGAGTTTTGTAGTTTTTGTTTTGACCAAAGGAAATATGTTTGCCTGGTTTGTGAGATGTCGACCTGCAATAAATGTGCTGTATTCGAGAGCAACGAAGATGAGCCGGTCTGGACCGAACAAAAGCGTTGCGTATTGTGAATGCTGCGAGAGAGACAAAAAAAAAAAAGAATGAAAAACAGGTTCTCTTATATGCATTAAAAAGAAAAAGACCGGAAAAGACAAACAAATGTCCATGCGTTCCCACGTGCATTTTCATGTCCAATTAAGATTATACAATAACAATGGGTGAGTGAATTAAGATCGACATTGGTTCGACGTTTGCCGCCACATAGGCCCTTAGTCGGCCTTCCACCGAACCTATGTTAAATAGGTCCGGTTCGACGTTAGTTCGACGTTTGCCTGGGCCTTAGAAACCCAGGGCGTAGCCGAGTGCTTCTCTTGCTTATTGATTGCTCTACAGCTCCCAGAGTGTTTATGTCAACATACAGAGACATAAAAAGTCTTTTTATATTGCTTTTATAAAATATCAATGAACGATTTTGCACAGGCGTGTCTTTGTCCTCTTAAAATTTTGAGAAAGCACTTCACCTACGAAAAAAATATTGCACAGCCTCTCTTTCCGGAAACGAAATATAGAGGAAAAACCTCAAAAAAATGCGCGCAGGCGTTGTTACAAAAAATGAATATGGTACAACATAAATTCATGCACCCCCCCCCCCCCAAAGTTATCTAATGGCCCATCCCTTGGCGTACTACGTTTACTAGTTACATGCTTTCAAAAGAATACAATGTTAAAAGCAGCACGCTCACGAATTGCACGTGCGTAGATAGCATTCGTATGTAAGTAGCTTAGATCAGCCCAGAGGTTGCTTCAGGGTTTGATCTGTGAGTTAGCCATACCCTGACTTAGATCAGCCAAGAGGTTGTTCCAGGGCTCCAGTATAACTAATTTACGTTTTGTGTGTTCCTTGTTATATCTCTAGGATGTTTCCTTATACCTTACCTAGTGTGTGTGATAGCTGCTGGTGTTCCATTACTGGTCATGGAGATCAGTTTGGGGCAGTTGATGAGTCAGGGGGGAGTCAACGCATGGGCGATTTGCCCAATATTGCAAGGTTATTATAAAAACGATAAAATAATATAATTTCCTAGGATATGCACATGTATATTATAACCGTTAGTGGAAAACACGTTAAAAATGACAATTCTTCTATTCAATTTACAAATTTCTTAATGAATTTTCCCCCAGTTTTGGCAATCCATTGTTGCTCGCAGCAAAAACTCGAGGGGTCATAATAGCGTCCCCTGAATTCATGTAATGCATCCTGAGGCATGACATCTTGTTACGGCCCCACGCAATGCATTCTGGGTCATGACACCGTGCCCTGACATCACGCAATACATTCTGGGTATTGTAACCTGTTGATAGGTTTTTTCTTCATCAGGCATAGGATATGCGTCTAATTTGATCAACTTTTACTTGATCATCTATTACGCGATAATATTGGCCTGGGCGATCCTTTTCATGTTTTATTCCTTCACCGACAAACTTCCCTGGTCTCACTGCGATAATGACTGGAATACCGCTGCGTGTTACCTCGGCAAGAAAATGATTCCAGTGAATGAAAGTCTGAATGGAACAGTCAACTACACCGTTAGATACGTGGAAGACAACAACACCAAGTCTCCTGCTATTGAGTTTTGGGAGTAAGTAACGAAGTAGAAAATAGTCTTTTTTATGAAATAGAGTTATATTTCAAACATACACCTTGATACAACATATAGATCCATACACCTCATGCGTGGAAAATAAAAATGGATTGCTTGAGCAGGGACGGCGGAGCAGTTTTTTGATTGGGGGAGGGGCTCAATAGTGACATTGTATGACAAGGTGGGGGGCTGAGTTTAGTGAAAATGTATTAAAATTTCACAAAAAGTGAAACGGTTCCGCCGTTCCTGTTGAGGTCTTCTTCCTGCAGGGCGTAGTGACACGTTCAAAAAACATTTTAATTGTAACGTCCTTTTTCACGAGGGTAGCCTTTAATAGCCAGTGGCTAACAAACCTGTGGCCCTCATTCCATGATCGAATTTGTTCGTTGATTGTCATTTTTGAACAGAAACCAGGTGCTCGATGTCTCTGAAGGGCTTGGAGAAGTCGGCAAGATTAATTGGCAGATGGCTTTGTGTTTGTTGCTTGCCTGGGTGATTTTGTATTTCTGTGTGTGGAAAGGAGTAAGATCAACTGGAAGGGTATGGCGATATGTCGTTAGTTCGTGCTAGATAATTAGCAAAAATCAAACAACCAATCGGTTAACTTACCTAACCAAGCAATCAACCACCCAACCACCCAATCACCCAGCCAATCGCCCAGCCAATCACCCAGCCAACCAACCACCCAACCACCCAATCACCTAACNNTAGTGTTATGCTGGTTATAGCTGAGTGCTATTTCGGTAGTTTTGAAGGATTTAAATAATTTTAAAAAAACCGTGAAAAATCAACCGAAAGATGTTTGCCTTGATGACAGAGCTTGTCAAATATTTCATTCATTTTATTTTCTGTTTTAGCTATATTATAAGCTAAAACAAAAAGCAACACCGGAGTTGACGCTGGTTTGCATATGTTTAGGTAAGTTTGAAGGATTTTCCATAAACACAGCGAAGAATCAACCGACATTCGCCCTGTTGACAGCCTAAAGCTTGCCCGATGTAGTCTTTTCTATTTGCTGTAATTAGTACAACAGGCCAAAATAACTGGAGGTAACTTTCGCTTTTTTTTGCCGACAGCCTGCCACTTATGATAGAGCCACTTCAGTTGACACATGCGAGGTGCATTGCATGTAATCTAGCATGAGTACAAACACCAACATACAAGCTTAAGAAAGATGATTGAATCAAAAAAGGCTAAAAATAAAGCAGATCGATGCAGTAAGCCGGTTGGGTCAGCCTCTGATCTTTCTTGATTCAATTGAAGGTTTTTTTTTTTCGCTTTCTCTTTATTCGTTTCCTCCTATACCACTTAATTTTCCTCCAAAAAAAAAATCAGTTATTACAATCAAATTCGGTCATGGAGCAAGGGCCACAGTTTGGTTAGCCACTGTCTGTTCATTAAGTGCTACACTCCTATAATAGGACGATTATCTTGTTGAGACATTACAGTCGACGATAATCGATAATATATACTGCTATAAGTTGATATACGATAAAGATCATCTAATACTGTTAATATTTCTAAGATGATCTGAGAAGCATGATTTACCGACAGTCAACATTTTTATTTTATATCAAAGGTTATTGATGAGAAAAATGATGATATTAATTCCTTCAAAAAAACAAAAACAAAAAAAAGAAAGAAAGAAAGAAAAACACTTCTTCAACTCTTTTGCACATCAAGGATGTTTATATTTGAACACTCACGTTTACCTTAAGTTTTTGAGTCTTTTTTTTCACCCTTGGATTGTCTAAGTTTTTCTCGCTCTTCAACCTTTAAGTGTTATTTGTATTGTTTTGTCAATAGCAGGAAGTAATCCACGTCAACAACTCGAGAGTAAAAAAAGGTGAGGCCGAGATAGGTCAAAATATAGAAACTTGTGATTAACTGTAAACACGAATCTTGTTTTTTATAATCTTAGAAAGGAATAAATTTCATTCAAAATTGTCAAATCACTTGTGTCCTAAGTTTATTTTTTTACTAATTCATTTTTCGCTTTTGCTCACTTTTTTCACTTTCCTTTCTTATTTCTATCGAGTCTTGAAGAGTTTATTATTTCAAAGTATGTATTTATAGCGGAGACAACTGAAGTTCTAAAATTATCACCAACGCAGAGGTCAGTGCAATTGACATTTTTAAGTTATAGCGCTGCTGGAAAAAAATGAAAATAAAAGGACTACGACGAAAATAAATCCTAAACGAATATATAAAAATAGAATAAGAGTAAAAGCGGCTACATTAGATGTCGAGATACAATGAAAACGAATGATGTCATGGTTTTTCAGCGAATATTTTACTAGTCCTCTCTTGTTGTTGTTTGGGAGGCATGGAATACAAACGACTGCATGTGTTATTTATTTTCCTAAGTTAAAAAGAAAAAGCAAATTTCGAAGATTATTCATGATTTTATGATCAAAATCTTTAGCCGTTTTACCGATCCATATTTAACATCATGAGGGCTCGCTGCCAATGATGTCATTTTTCAGGTCGAGTGTTCTCTGAAATCTTCTCTGAAATGATGCTGACTTCTCAAAGCTAGTCGAACAACTTCTAGTCCAGACGCTGTACCCTTTCCTTTGCCGCACTGCTAAGCCCAAAAACAAAAGCGGAGCGGCAAAGGAGAGAGTACAGCGTCTGGACTAAACAACTTCATGATTGTACGAGAATGAATCAGGGGGTCTTTATACAAAGTACTTTAAATTTGGATTTTAGCTCTTAGATAAAATTGCTTTTGTAGGTGACAAACGAACAAACAAACAATTAAACAAACTACAAACCCATCCACCCACCCACCAAACCTAACTACTAAACCAACTAACTAACCGACCAACTGTTAAACAAACCAACTAACCAAGCAATCAACAAACTGACTGATCAAGCAATCAACAAACTGACTGATCAACCACCCACCCAACCGACCACCCAATCACCCAACCACCCAACCAACCAACCAACCAACCAACCAACCAATCACCCAACCACCCAACCACAACTAACAACCACCCAACCAACCACCCAATCACCCAACCACAACTAACAACCACTCAAATCATACAAACAATTAACAACTGCAAACCCACCTATCGACAATTCTTCTTTGCATCCTGTTTATTTTTTTGTTTTGTTATTGTAACTTTATCAGGTGGTTTACTTCACCGCCACATTCCCGTACTTATTTATAACCATCCTTCTCATCCGTGCTGTTACTCTACCCGGAGCTGTGACTGGTATAAAGTACTATCTTGTCCCTGATTGGTCAAAATTATTGCAAGGCCAGGTATGTAAATATTTCTAAGTAAGATGAAGAAAATGTCCGAGTATTGTAAAGTAAATGAAAATATAGTAAAGTAAGGCGAAGYATAGCAAAATATGACCATGAAAAAAGCCAGAATGGCAAAGAAAACCTTGTAGCACTTCGGAATGCAACTCAATCTGGGGAACAAAGCAATAGCTTCCAATTCTCAGGAGATTGGAATTCTTTTGTTTTGTCCCCAAGATCGAGCTGCTTTGACGTCACATGCAAGGTAGGTATGACAAAGGTATTACAACATATAAATATTATGGCAAATTATTGTTATGACGAAGGTAACGCAAGAAATAATGCCTTTCATGAGTATTTCATTTGATTTTGATTGAAGGTGTGGCTAGACGCAGCAACACAAGTATTTTACTCCTATACAATCGGCATGGGAGTGTTGATCGCTCTTGGAAGCTACAACAACTTCAAAAATAATTGCTACAGGTACTTAAATTCCCCTTCGAGACTGGTATGGCATCGTTAACTACAACCACCATAATCCCTTGTACACTTTCTTTTGTTCAGTTAATTAGCACCAATTGTCTTACTATTCTCATGAGGGAATACAAATTTAAAAAAGGAAGAAAATTTGCGAAGCATTTTGGTAGTGGGAGTAAAAAGACGCCATTATCATAGCAATGGTCTCTTGAAACCCCCATCCCCCTCATGAAATCATGGGGACTAAGTTTAAAATATATTCTCTCGATGAAACTCCTGATGCTAAGCGGCCATACAAGATCTTCTTAATTCCTAATAACCCACTTTTCATATTTTTGGTTTCGCTCTAGTTTTTGATGGCAGACTCAGACTCATTTGAAAACTGACAGGTTTAATAAACTAGTTTAAGCCTGTATTAAAGAACCTTTCTTTCTTAAATGACAAACAATTGATCATAGTCGGGATCGCGATGATAGGAAAATTTACATTTACAATTTAAAAAGTCCCGTTATGGAAGTTTGTGCAAATTTTGCGAACGCATTCTCTTTTTTAATCACGCAAATCTTATCCTTTTTTTTTCTCAGGGATTGTATCATCTTCGCATGTGTTAACAGCGGAACTAGTTTCTATGCCGGGTTTGTCATCTTTTCCGTTCTTGGTTTTATGGCTGAGAAACAAGGAGTTGGTATTGGAGATGTTGCCGAATCAGGTTAATTATCAGCCAATCAGAATCGAGGAAACTGAAACTGAGGTGTCACATTTCCTCTTGAAATCGGGGATTTAAACAGCAAGTCAAACAAATGAAAAAGGAAAAAAAAACGTCGCTAATACGGCTTTTGATAACATTGACACACTATTTATTTCTTTATTTCTTTATTTCTTTATTTCTTTATTTCTTTCTTT